TGATACTTGCTACTTTAACGTTGGCTCCACTATTGGAAGCACAGAGTATTCTAAATATCATTAAAAATGGAAAATATAATTTGCAAAATATGATAAAATGTGTTTAGATTTTGTAAATCTAATAAATAAAATTTGCAAGATAAAATGTGTTTAGATTTTGTACTTGCTTACACAGCCATTTTTAATTTATGTGCCAAATGAGAAGCCTTATTCAGTTGTTGTTGAAAGTTTGAAGAGGCAGAAAATGTCTGTTGAACATTTCATGTTGGCTTTATCCAAAGGAAGATTTCTGATTGTAAATGAAAAAAAATCTTGCAAAATTATTTTACAATAATTACAAATATAGCAAATTTCAAAGATTATACATAATTAAAAATGCTGCCAGGGGTAGGGGTGGGTGGGTACCTGAGATTTTGTGGTGTATATACAATAGCTTCTCTGTGTAGAGGAGAGCTAAATAATTCAAGGCAGGTGGGTACAGTATGTCACCTTCAGTTTCTTGAACACAAGGAGACAATATTGTGAAGACTGTCAGTGAAGATTTATGAGCTATTGAGCTCCCTGTTTTCCCCTTTTCCCAAGAACTAATGTGAGCAATAAACTACACAAGAACACGAAACCACATAAGTCTTTTTGTCAGCTTTGTCACTTGGATTCAATATATTCTGGTTCAAGATGACAGCAGTATCTGCTATTATGTGGGTGACTATCCTAAAAAAGATGTAGTTCACCCCTTTACCTTCACCACAAAAAAGAATCAAGATCCTTGCCACATGAGTAGGTATATCCAGCAGGTACATTAATCTGTTTGTCTTGTTTATCCCCAGATTTTTGGGTTTTGCTTTCTCCCGAGGCAGTTGTCTTTTTGTCTACTTTTAGGTTCTTGTTTCTTTTCTCTCTCTCTTGGATATAGAAAAAGCAGAATTCAATCATATCATCAATAATTCCTGACAACTTACTCCCTTTGAGGTCACAGGCAAACCTATCTTCATACTGTTGGGTGGCTTTTATTCCATCCCCCACACATTTTCCAAATGTCACAGACAATGGTGCAGAAGAAATTTGTCACCTTCAGCAAGCAAAACTTCACAACGAGTGATTACATAACTCTAGCCTGAATTTATCACATCATTTGTTGTTGTTTTTGTCAGCTCTGGTGCTACCAAAAACAGCATTTCAAGACTGATGAAGGGATGGTAAGACAGAGCAAAAGAGTTAACTGGTATGAAAAAGTTGTACAAAATATAATGGAATGAGAATAGTATCAGAAAGTTTTCTGATATTACTGTTGAGATAAATGGCAGGTACACTCCAAAGGATGTGTAGTAACTGTACTTCTTCTGGTTCATTCAATAATTTCCCTATCAAAATGTTGACTGGTGGTTTCTACTTTGATGATATTACTTGCCATGAAGTGAGAAGTGTATATACTATAATTCTGACCAGGTACCAACCATTGATGCCTTTTATTCCAATTATGCTACCTGATCTCCTTCATTCAATTTCCTGGCAGTTTAGCACTAATTCCCTACTGGTAATATCTATTCTACCATAGGATTAAATCATAAAACCATAGCATTGTAAGAGCCCACACGAGTCATCTATTTCAATCCCCTACCATGCAGAAATGCATAACTAAGGATTTAATTACATGAGACTGGCAAACAGGAATTGCAGCAGGATAAGCTCAACAGTTGCCTGCAGCTATCATAAAATGGAATGTGCATCTATTTGCTGGTTTACCTTCACTCCATGACTATAGCGCCCCTTTTAAATGATGAGCAAAAACCTGTCAATGCTTCCTGAGTGACTACCTTCCCATTATCTTAGTCTGATAGTTCCACTCCTGTGCTAATATGCCGGCAAACACATGGTGGTAATGAACAGGATTCTTCTCCTCTCCCTCTCTCTCCTTTTCCCTGCTCACTATTCCTAAACTGTCTGCTTTTTTTTTTACCTCCAATAATTTTTTCTGATCTTTTTATTTTTTATTGCTGTAATTTGAAAATTGTACTAAATATTAGAAAGAATCGATCACACTAGAGTTTATTTAGGCATGCCACAGCAAAGGTGGGTGTGCAGTTTGAATACTTTTGCAACACTAGGCAATTTTAACACTGTTATTCCACATTTATGGAATTGTATGGGTTATAGTTTGGATTCTTTGGGTGAAAATACCAATTATGTCTCCCTAAACTGCCAGTAGGAACCAGTGTGGTGTAGTGGTTTGAGCATTGAACTAGGACTCAGGAGATCAGGGTTCGAATCCCCAATTAGTCAAATTACTGTGTCATCTTGGACAAATCACACACTGCCAGACTCACAAAATCCCAGGAAATGTTGTCACATTCACCATGTGTCAGAAATGACTTGAAGGCAACAACAACAACAACTTGCCAGTTCCATAATTTCATAGAACAGAGCCATGCATGTAAAGTGGAATAATATATCTATAATAATTCTGTGGTGTGAACACAGCCTGGTCTTTTAGTGTGAACTATCTGTTGTAGAACATCTTTTAATTGAGGTTTGTATCATCATCATCATCATCATCACCATCAAGGTACCTTTTTATTAAATTAATGTTTTCATTTCAATTGCTTAATTTGATTCTTTATTTTATTTTATTTTTAAAAGCTTTTGGGTTGTTATTTAAACTTTATTTTGTTTGAACTCAAAATGTGAGTCACTTTGAGTCCCATTTTGGGTGAAAGTTGGGATAATAAGTAAATAAATAGCAGCAGGGTGGGTGAAAATGCATTGGCAGGGGTAAAATGACAACTGGGGAGATAGCATGAAAGGCTTTCTCTGTCAACAGAGACTTACCTTGTCAACCCTTGAGCTACTTGAGAGTCAAGAAAGCAGAATTCTTTGATTACAGAATTGAAGTCCTCCATACACCACTCTAAAAATTTCCTTATGTTGACATAATGTTAAGTCACTCCAATGTAAGAGGCAATGAGAATTCTGACTTCAGTGCCCCTCTTCCAATCCTAGGGTAGGGAAACAAAAGATATAGCAAATGTCCTCAGTCATATATATAATCTACTGTTGTGTAATGAGAGTATAAATACACACACACACACACACACATTCAACTGCTGTGAGATTTGCCACCTCTGCAAAAAATGAAAGACCAGCTCTTTCTTTGTCTTTGATTTTTGTACACATTATTGTATTTCCCTGCACCTCTTCTAATTCCATGCATTCTCAGGTTTTTAGTGGTGTCTCATTATTTTCCTTCCCTAGAGGCAAACCTGACATTTTTACAAGGACAAAATACAAGAAAGATATAACAAAAATACTTACTGCCAAAAGAAACAATCTCTGACAATTTAAAGTAATAAATATAGGTTTAAATTACAAAAATTAATGTACCCTATGCTCTTCTTATTAATTGTCTTGTTTGATTTTGGGGAAACTTGTTTTCCCTCTCTTATATAGACAAAGTAGCAGCTGTTACCTTATTTTGTCTTTATAATAAAAAGAAATAAACATTTAATGCAGAAGGGAGATATCTAATGGAGAAAAGGCGGAAGGAAATTACAGTTAGAATAATATTGCTTTGATTCCATTGTTTTTGTTCTCATAATTAACACCATGTTCTGCACTGAAGAAGGATGAAATTATACCCTCATTACAGAAATAATTAAAGTCAGATTAAGTGAATTGATTCATTTTCCCCCTACAACTAAATTTTATTCTCCTTCTGGCATCAAGACAAAAAACCTAAGTCACAAATTGTACCAATAACAGCAGACTATTCAGCAGAGATGAAATATGGATGGCATGTTTTTCCCAAATTCCCATAATGTTAGTCTGCTTACTTCAAGATTAGTGGCAACAGTGGCTGCAATATTTTGCTACCAGTATATCATGTTTTATTCTTACCTACCTTTCATTTCCTGTTGTCTCTCACTCTTGGCATTCAGACACAAAATTCAATCTCAGAGTGATCTTTTGAAATTTCAAACCCAGAACAAAATGCTATATCTCATGATTGGAATCCTGTTGGAGTCTTGTGTTTTTGTAAACGGTTTTATGCTTGCAAGGATTGGGTTTGACTGGTTTTGTAATGTCTTTATTCAGTAGAAGACTGCTATTATGTTACGATATAGCAAAGCAGGAAAAGTGAATAATGCACAATGGGATCAACGCGCAAGATGGATACACAATAAGATGTATATTGTGTTTATTTCATTACAAATCACAAGAGTCCTGATGCTCATTTAGAAGATGCCTATCAGGACACCAGTAAGAGTAGCTGAGACACATTGGCACCAATGGTTATCAGCCACTCATATTGATGTCCTTTTACACATCTTCACAATTCAGTAAAGACGTTTCTTGGTACCTCTGCTATGTAATATAATAGGTTATATAGGATTCCAGCAAATATCTCCAGTAACAGTAATACCCACCATCACTCCTTCCTCCTTATAGAAACTGAATTACATGGTAAGTGTTAAATCATATAAAGCAGTTCAATGCAGTTAAACTGCATTATATGGCAATGTAAATGATGCCTTAGTTTTATATCACACCATGAGTTTAATTCTCAATGTCTTAGATGAGTCCAAGAGTGGATTACACAAATTAATGGAGGATAGATAATTTTCTAAAAATGATATACTTTGAATATCAGTTGAATGAAATCAAAACAGAAGGCTTTAGTCTCCTGTTTATAGGCTGCCCTGTGGCATCTAGTTGGCCAGTATTGTTAAAAGGATTGGACTTGCTTTTGATCCTGAAAATGTGTATTCAGAATAAAATGCTTCAATGCAGGCAAAAGGCAGATTTACCTGTGGAAGAATCAGCATTTTCAGTTGGGAACAAATATATTTTGGCTACGATCCTCCACTGTCCTGACAGAAAATCAAGTTCCGCTAAGTGTCCTCTCCACATGCTCAACCTACCTGTCTAATGACTGGGTACAATATTTCATGTCTAGGGCATATGCAGAGCACACAGGCAGCAATCACATATGATCGTATTTTCAGCTTCAGAAAAACACCCAGAAGATCCAGCAGGATGGTCTTCCATCCTGTGACTGGCTGCTGGAATGAATCCCACTGCTGCCTATCTGATCCCACTAAAAGGCCAACCACTTGACAATTAAATGGCACAGGTAGGAATGGAAGTGCTAAATTCTTCATTTTTTTTTTTACACAAATGGCTTGTATGTATACACAGTATAATATGTGAACAGCATTTCATTTTCTTGTGTTCATCACACTTGTACCTTGGGAAGTCAGACTTGGCCATGGTGGTCCACACTCTTGTTATATCCAGGATAGACTACTGCAATGCACTCTACCTGGGGTTGCCTTAGAAGATGGTTCGGAAGCTTTAAATAGTTCAATGAGAGGCAGCCAGGTTAATAACTGGGGCAGCATACAGGGAGCACACAACTCCCATGTTACGTCAGCTCCACTGGTGGCCTGTTTGCTACGCGACACAATTCAAAGTGCTGGCTTTGGCCTATAAAGTCTTAAATGGCCCCAACACAGTTTACCTGTCTGAACCCATCTCCCTTTATGAACCACTGCAGAAACTAAGATCTTCTGGGGAGGCCCTGCTCTCTGTCCTGCCACCATCACAGGCATGTTTGGCGGGGACGAGAGACAGGGCCTTCTCAGTGATTGCCCCCCAGCTATGGAATTCCCTTCCTGGCAAAATTATATCAGCCCCCTCCCTCCTGTCCTTCAGAAGCATGGTGAAGACCTGGCTGTGGGACCAAGCCCTTTGGGGCAGTGCAATGAGGCAAAATGGTGTCCTGAGATGGTTTTTAAGCAACTTTTAATGTGAATATAAATGATTTTAATGTTTGTATATCTTTATGGTTTCATGTCCTGGCATTGAATGTTTGCCGTATATATGTTGTGCTCCACCCTGAGTCCCCTGCAGGGTGAGAAGGGTGGAATATAAATGTTTTAAATAAATTAATTAATCATCACAGGGATTTCAACACTACCTCTACAACGGCAGCAGGAATAGGAATAGCTCTTCAACATCTGGCAGACATATACAATGGGAGTGGTCTGTTCACTTCAGTCAGCTCCTTCAAGGTCAAGCCAGTCACTTCAAGGATACCATCCATCCATCTTGTCCTTGGTCAGCATCTCTTTCTTGTGGTGCAAAGCACTCTCAGAATTTTCTTCCAACACCACAGTTCAAAAGTGACTATCTTCCTTTGCTCAGCCTTCCTTATGGTCTAGCTCTCAGATCCATAGGTTAGTAAGGGGAATACCATTGCTTTAACTATGCTGATCTTTGTTGATGTGATGTCTCTACTTTTCACTATTTTATTGAGATTGGTCATTGCTGTCCTCCCTAGATGTAAAGACTTCTAATTTCCTGGCTGCAGTCTGCGTTTGCAGTAATCTTTGCGCCTAGAAATACAAAGTCTGGCACTGCTTCCATGTTTTCTCCCTCTATTTGCCAGTTATCAGTCAGTCTGGTTGCCATAATCTTGGGTTTTTTTATGTTTAACTGCAACCCAGCCTTTGCACTTTCTTCTTTCACCTTGTTTAAAAGGCTTCTCAGCTCCTCCTTACTTTCAGTACTATCAAAGTATTATCAAAGTAGTATCCTCTGCATATCTAAGGTTGTTAATGTTTCATCCAGCAATAGTTTATTGCCTTAATGAAAAGCTGGTGTACAGATGGAGATTAGAAATCAAAATATAACATCAAAAATGATATAGTAAAAAAGTGGCATAGGGATATAGGAAGATTTATATGGCAAGGAAAAAAACATAGGATAAGCTTCGTAAACCTAACAGATGACAGAAACAGAGAGGGACTGGCTTTACCCAATCTCCAATTATACTACGAGGCAGCCGCCCTAGATTGGATAAGGGAGTGGACAACTCTAGAGAAGAAAAAATTACTAACCCTGGAAGGGTTTGACTTAGTTAAGGGCTGGCACGGATATCTCTGGAGASGAAAGGCAGAGAAGGAGAAAAATTTCARAAACCACTCGATAAGATCTGGATTAATCCAAGTATGGAATAGATATAAGGAAAGATYATACACAAGAACACCATTATGGTTCTCGCCCAATGAAGCTAACYACTTAAAAGAAYTACCTCGAGAYAAATGGTTAGTATATAAACAATTGATAAAAATAAACACAKTAGAAGTAACACTCAAATMACAGGAAGAAYTAAGGYTGTTAGACCCAACGCTCTCGTGGTTTCATTACTTCCAAATTAGAGAGAACTTTAACATAGACAAAAAAGCAGGCTTTGAAACAACGGAAAGATTCTGGGATAAGGTGATAAAGATAGATAAAAAGATAATAAGTAGAATCTATAAACAACTACTAATATGGAATACGGAAACCGAACAAATAAAAGAAAATATGGTGCAATGGGCAATGGGCCAGAGACGTAAATAGATCAATATCCATGACAGAGTGGGAAGAAGTATGGCAAAAGAAATTGAAATATTCATATGCAGCAGAAATAAAGGAGAACTGGTACAAAATATTCTATAGGTGGTACCTAACACCAGAAATAATAGCAGAAATAATAGCAAAAAAGGAAGAACAGGAGGAAAGTGCTGGAAATGTGAGGAGAAAACGGGGAACTTTATCCACATGTGGTGGAAATGTAAAAGAGTCAAAGAATTCTGGTACCAAATAGGGAAACAAATAGAGGATATATTACAGATAAAAATCAAATTAAAACCGGAGGCCTTTTTATTGGGAATAACAGACATTAAAATGAACAGGAACACAGACAAACTTTTCTTTTACATGACAACAGCGGCAAGGATTATCCTTGCCAGAGTCTGGAAAACAAAAGAGATACCCACAAAGGAACAATGGAATGTGAAAGTTATGGACATACTAAGCATGGATAGGCTCACCGAAAGATTGGCACAAAATGATGAAACATATCAAAAAACGGACTGGACGAAATTCCTAGACTATATTAAAAAAGAAAACAAGGAGATCTATATTAGTAAACTCTAATAAACGCTCAGAGGTAATGTTCAAGAAAGAAAACGGAGACATGAGAGGAAAACTCAAGAAGAGAGGTGAGGAAAAAGGAAGAGAAGAAGGAATTGAATACAAATGATTAAATTACCATCAGCTTGGGAGGAACTGGAGGTCCACGTAGGTGTTAAGGCTTTATGTTTGGTCAGGGTTACAGACCACTTTGGTGTTTTTTTTTTGGTTTTTTTTTGTTGGGGTTTTTTTTCCCCTTTTCTTCTCCCTCTCTTATCTTGCTAGCCTAAGCTAAAGATCTGTGAAGAAAAGTACTTGTAAAGTGAAAGAATACACACAAGCAGGCTAGTGTTCCAACTATCTTTATTGTCTGTGTATGTACTTGTGTCTGTATTTGTGTCTGTATCGTTGAATGTACAGTGCTTAATGTGGTTGTATATGTGTGGGTAAATGTTCATCTTAGACTGAAAATCAATAAAATTTATTAAAAAAAATGATATAGTAAACACTTAATGTCCCTTCTCAGCCATACACTGGGATTACTATGTTAGGATTTCTTTCATTGCTGGCAGCTGGATGGTATCCATCTCACCTAACAAAGCAAACTAATTTGGGGGGCCCAGAACAAGTTGTTTAACATACAGAACTCTTTCCAAACCAGTGAGAGACAAAGAGAGCAGAGGAGGAAGTAGGTCAGTGGTTCTCAACCTGTGGGTTCCCAGGTGCTTTGACCTACAACTCCCAGAAATTCCAGCCAGTTTACCAGCTGTTAGGATTTCTGGGAGTTGAAGGCCAAAACATCTGGAGACCAACAGATTGAGAACCACTGAAATAGATAAACCCAGGCACCTAGAGTTTCAGATGACAATCTCATTTCCATAGTGTTAAAACCATCTCCACCTGTGATATGATCCATTGTTTCCTAGGCTCATATTGTTTTAGCCTTCTCTGAATTTTGGCCCTAGGATTTTCCCCACAATTTTTTTCACATATTTCTCCACATGTTATTGGATTACAACTCTAAAAATTCTACATCTTTGGTCTTTCTGGCATGACATGCTGGGACCAAATGTTTAAAAAACGCCATATGAATTCCACCTTAGTTTAAACTATCTTTATTAATATATGAAAAAAGAAAATTAGGTTCACCCTCTTAGTGTGAACCCCTAATCTGAAGCTTCCAGCTTTGCTCCCACTGGTAAAAATGATATGCTTTTATGTGCTTCTCCTGCTGCCTACTAAAAATGTTTTGTCAGCATTACTGACAAAAAAATCTAGGAAAAGAGAGGGAAACAATCAGATTATTCTGGTCCAGTCATGAGCACAATTAGCACATGACATTTAAATTGAAAAACAAAATATACTCTCAATTTAACAAAGACTAGAAGAGAGTTGCACAAAACAAGGCTGAGGTAAACAAAGTATTGCTGATATACCCAGGTGTATGCACATTTAGCTTTAATTAGATGATGGCTATGTGCTGTTCTAACAAAACCAAAATCTCAACAACAACAAAAAGGTGACACATGGCTCCCTTGGCAAATGCAAAGAAGACTTACAATCTTATTACGATGTACAGAACAATCAGCACAAAGGAAAAAGTAAAGAAGGACAAGAAAACCATAACTGCTTTTTCAACAAAGTCTGAAATGAACCACTCAATTCCACTTGCTAACAAGGTGAGAATGCAAAAAGATGACTGTAATTTATATTATATGCGGCAAATACTTGGATAAGAAGAGAGGCCACTTTCCCAAGGTATTGCAGGAATAATAGGAAGTGACTGTAGATTTAGTACAAATAAGTGAACACCTGGACTCCATTTTTGTATCCCCACTGAAACCCACATCAAAGTCACCAATTTCCCTCAACAGAATAAATTTGGTTTAATTTTGGGAAAATTCTGCCCCCCTCCCCAAAAAAACCCACACAGAAAATTTCCCAAACAAATGAAAATGTGTGAAATTATGCTAACTTCAAATTTGGTTGTTGATGTTGTGTGTCTTTGGGTACTTTCAGACTTATGGTGACCCTCAGGCTAACCCTACCATGAGGGGATTTTTCTTTTTGCAAGATTAATTCAGAAGGTGTTTGCCATTGCCTTTCTCCGAGGCTGAGAGGATGTGACTTGCGCAAGGTTATCCAATGAGTTTCAGGACTGAGAAGGGATTC